GAGCCCAGGCTGGGGTGGGAGGTGCCCACGCTGCCCTCTGCCTGGGCCCTGGTGGCACGTGCAATGCCTGTCAAGCCCCCCCCCAAGTTCAACCTCCCCAGAGCCCCCCATCCACCCGGCCCAGGCATGGGCACCACCCCCGGGCTGTCCGCTAGGCGGGCCACTCACTGCCTGTCCTTGGTCCATTCCACCTGGGGCGTAGGGACCCCCGAGGTCCGGCACTCCAGCTCCACCTGGGCACCAGCCAGGCCCAGCACCTCCTGGGCAGCCCCGGCTCCCAGCACAGAAGGTGGGACTGAGGACAAGAAGGGCAGAGGGTGGAACGGCTCCAACCTGCAGCCCTGCCCACTGAGGGCCCTGGCCATGCAGGTCCCCCTCCTGGTGAGCCCTTCCCTCCACGTCCTGCCTGGAGCCCGCACTGTGCTCCCTGCACAACCTGCACTACTCGTGTGACACACAGTGGCTGCTTGGCTAGTCACGTGGCTGTCGGATGCCTGCCCTGAGCTGTGTGAGGAGCTGGGCTGGCGGGGGCCCCTCTGTGCCCCTGCTCTCAGCACACACAGCGTCCCCGTCCCCTGCCCGCCTCACAGGGGAGGGGCTCGGGCCTCACTCACTGAGCACGAGAAGCTCGAAGTCCCGCTGCGCGGTGCCCGCCGCGTTCTCTGCCCGGCAGGAGTAGAGGCCAGAATCGCCCGCCTGGATCCGGGGGAGGTGGAGGGCCCGGGCCTCGTTCAGGAGGCGGTGGCTGTCCCCCTCGGGGATCTGGGCAGAGAGGTCAGAGGGAGCTGGTGACGGGGTACCAGACCATAAGCAATAAGAGAACCAAGGTCCGCAGAGCTGGCTGGTGACAGGATCCTGGGGCTTCTAACTCCTAGAACAGTGCCGCGCCCCCGCCACCATGCAGCCCTCCAGGCTTCACCAGGAGACCTCAGTCCTCCCATGCCCTGAGCCCCAGTGCATCCCTAAAGAAACCTGTCACATCTCCCTGCCATAACCGGTCAGGAAAGCCCGTACCCCAGCCAAACCCGCCCTCACCGGGCCGCCCCAGGGGACACCCACCAGCTGCCCATCCTTGAACCACGCGATCTCAGGGGCTGGGAAGCCGTTGGCGTCACACTCCAGCGTCAGGGCCTGCCCGGCCATGCCCGACACGTTGGCCCTGCGTCCGTCCTCCCGGATGCTGGGGGGCACTGGGCACAAGGAGAGGTAGAGGAGCCTCCCTCCCCGGAGCCGCAGCTGCCTGGACAGGCAGCCCCCGAGCCTGGGGTCCCCGGCTGTGCCCAGCCAGGGCGCCCTCTCTGACACTCCGCTTTGCAAGATGCTGGAGGGCCGACCCAGCCAGGTCTACACTCAACCCATCATCACGGTCCCCTGCGAGGGCCCGAGGTGCGGTCTCCTCGGTAGGACTTTGTGACAGACTTCCAGGCAAGTCCTCACAGGGCGAGCTGGGGGGCTGGTCACAGGGGGGCCGAAGGTGGCCCATGAGGAGCCTTAAAACGCTCCCCCCACCCCCTCCAGGATGGCCACGTGGAGGGCAAGGCCCCTGTCCTCTGCACACAGCACCCGGGGAGAGGGGGGGGCTCGAGGGGGTGCAGGTCTCAGCGGAGGCGGCCATCGGTGCTCACCTTAAATGAAGGCACCCCTAGACCACTTCCAAGCCGCTGATGGCGCTCCGGGCTGCCCCTCACACTCCTGGGGGGGCCTCTCGGGGGAAGGGGTGCCCATGCCGCCGGCCGCTCTCCTGCTGCCCTCAGCCTCCCACCCCGGCACCTGCGGGGAGTTCTGCCCCCGCGGAGGTGGGTGCCCGCTGTCCGCGGGGCCATGCTCACCGAGCACCACCAGCT